GAGAGAGGTCCAAGAAACCCCGTTCAGCCGTTGTTATATTAGGGCCCCCGACTACAGCCGGGGTGGGGTTTTAAAATAACGATAAATTGCACCCCGTATCGAGACGGTAAATATAATCACTTTCATCACTCTAAAAATCGCTGTATAAGACTGTCCAACCGTACAGTCTTTAATTCCAGACAGTAATGTACATGCGATTTAAACTAAGTTGACCAAACAATCTACTGTCTGGGTGAGTTTACTTGAATACCTCTGAAAAACTAAGAAAAATCAGTTGCGTTCGTAAAGTAGAAAATACAAAACAAAAATGACTCTTGATTGACGTAAGTTGAGCAATTTTCCGCGACGTTTAATAATAGGGTAGTCAGTCATAATAATATTTAAGTAAATGTAAACTGTCTGTCGCTGCGTCTTTTTATCCGCATATCTTTTATCTATTGTTTGTTCACTTTCTCCATTTATCTCTTTACTTCTGTCCTGTTTGCTTGTTCGTCTGTTTTTCTTACTTTCTTTCTGTCACATGGCACTGGTGTCACGTGTCTTTATTAGGATTTCCCTTAATAAACCAAAAAGACACACTGAAGTAGTTTAAGTGTTGAGATGGTGGCTCGCAATAGTCTAGGCGGTATTACGTAGCTCAAAAGAACACCCAACCTACTTCAAGGGTGAGACGACTCAAAATATGGCACTACAGAGTTAATAAATATTTCCACTAGAGGGGTGAGGAGATTCATCCAAAGCTGTAGTTATGCCAAGGAATTTGGCTACGCTATTTGTAAAACATATATGACTGAATTTAAATATATTTCAATCTTTCAAGAATTAAGTTAGACATGTGTCCTCTATTCAATATCTTGACCCTTACTAAGTAAAGGGGGACTATATATTTATGGAGGAAAGTGCAGGTTTTGAAAATGGGTCATTTATATGGGGGTTGCAACAGAAAAAATCATCAGGGATTCCTCATCGCTTTTGTTACTGTTATTGATATTTATAGCTGCGTCTGTGGCTTAAGCGTTGCGAGTCCGACTCGTAATTCCAACGTAGCAAGATGGAAACACACTACTGGCTGCGTGGATTTTTATCATGGTATTGGGCGTCGCAGGTCCACCCAGCCTAAAATGGGTAGCACGATATATGTCCTAGGGAAGTTAAGACGGCCGACGTAATGCTGACCACATTACTCACCTAGTGCCGATTGGTCTGTAAACATGTAGCATTCTCTTTCCATATGCCTGATACGCTTAAAGGCGTGGAAAGGGATCTTTACTTTACTTATTGATATTTTTGCTCTGCATATGTGACCTATCCTTCTAAAACAGAGCAGGTGGACATGTTGAGGAAACAATTTATGAACAAACTAAATAGTAACATAACTAGAAAGTCTGCTTCCGTGTCCTTTGACTTAACGAATGGCATGAAGTCAAGAAATACATACATACAAGACAATTAGAGAGACAGTGTCGGGTAAGTGAAGACAAGTATAGAAGATCTACAACAAACAGCAACAGTTAATTGTCAGGTGTTGATTGAAAGAATGTGGCCTGCTGGGAGTTTCAGTCAGAAAATAAAATATTTCTTTGGCAATACCATATTTCTTTTATTTTGTGTTCTCAATTTCACGTTTTATTTCTAGATTTGTCTACATGAGTCAACGCACTATTTGTACATTGGACAGTTTATAAATCACATGCTTTAGCAAATTCTTCGTGTCTCGGCAGCTGCTACATTGGAAAAAAAGATATATTATGAGGCATGGGATTTAAGTGAAATTTTATCACACACAGATAAGGGTTTATTATTGACTTTCTCAAACTGACCCTGGATCTTTTCTGTTTAGCGACCACATCACTCGAGAAGTAGGAACATCCTATATTATTGGGGGTGAGGGTGAGGGTTAGTAGTAGAACCCCATTCATTTAACTCCATTGTGAGGACATGGAGATGGGAGGAAGATGAGGAGGAAAATGACGATGACAAAAGAAATCGGCAACGACAAAGACGCCGGCGACGGGTAAGAAAAAATAAAAGAAAAAGAAGAAGAAGAAGAAGAAGAAGAAGAAGAAGAAGAAGAAGAAGAAGAAGAAGAAGAAGAAGAAGAAGAAGAAGAAGAAGAAGAAGAAGAAGAAGAAGAAGAAGGAGAAGAAGAAGAAGAAGAAGAAGAAGAAGAAGGAGAAGAATAAGAAGAAAAAGAAGAAGAAGAAGAAGAAGAAGAAGAAGAAGAAGAAGAAGAAGAAGAAGAAGAAGAAGAAGAAGAAGAAGAAGAAGAAGAAGAAGAAGAAGAAGAAGAAGAAGAAGAAGAAGAAGAAGAAGAAGAAGAAGAAGAAGAAGAAGAAGAAGAAGAAGAAGAAGAAGAGAAAGAGGAAGAAGAGGAAACATTCAGATATAAAAAGTTACTAATACCTGTTAGTAAATATAGGATTTTTCACATTTCCAGCTACGATTTTCCCTTAAGAACATTAAATTATTTTTGGATTGACTAAGAAACGCATATCGAGTTGCAAGGGTGTAACACGGTTAGGTGATACAGGACTTGGAAATTGACCTGTGGTCTCTTGTGGTATATCAAGTTCGGTTGAACCGGTGCGGAAATGTCCTGTCACCACTCCACATCCCCTAAACCCTCCCCTCTCCGTCTTTATTTCAGTGATGACGCCTGGTGCGGCCCACACGTCCTTTGCTATGCCTCTAACGAGTTGTTTAAAACGGAAAGAATTGAGAGAATGAAAATATGGTTCTTGGGACATAGCAATAAGTATGTGAAGTTGAGTTGATTCTACGATCGACATCATAGCATTCAGGACATCTCCAGAAGCGCTTCGTCCCTATCTTAAGCAGCCAGTGCAGAGTTACAATACCTATGGCTTCAGCAGCAGTCTGATTATATGTCCGCCTTGCCTTTCCCTTGAGCGCCAAGTATCGCCTCTTTACTTCACACTTTATCACTCGCACCAGACTGTGATAGTCCATTTGATTCTCCAAACTGTACTTGCTCTGATAAGGCCCTAAACACTGTTTGCCTTATCAGGCATTATTATTTCAATAAGTATGTGGGAACAAGTTTGAAAATGAGAAACACAGTGATGTAGGTTGGCATGGCGATGCAAGAGATGGTCTGAAAGGAAAGGGTATGATTTTATTCTGTAAATACTGAACACGAAATTTTTGAAATTCGGCAAAGCCGACTTTCTACGCGGAGACAACCCTTGACAATAAAGACAAAACGACGAAACTAGTCTTGAAACCCCTCTTTTGCTTATCAACTTCCCGCCACAGCTTCTACCATATCATGCCGAACAGATTGGAAATTACTTCTACAACCAGTCAGGGAAGAATGGAAAAACAGTGACATTTCCTTCCAAAGACCGGAAGAAAGAAAGGACACATGTCTTAAAATAGAAGTGTTATCTGGTGCTCCAAGGGTTTCTTTTATGGCGCTGACCTTTTGTTGTAATGATGTCATCATTGATTTTCTTGTTTTTACCGAACCACCACGCTGTTGACAACTTCACATACATAATTGGAGTAGGGGGGGGGGGAGGTCGGGAGAAAAGGGGGGGGGGGGGTTGATCTCCGTCTGATTCCTGCGGCCCTAATGTGGTGACCCCCCCCCCCCCCCCAAAAAAAAAGCTCACTGCCTCCCACAAATAAGTCATGTCTGTGAAAAGGATGTGCACGCAAAATACAAGTTTTGGAACCAGACTGAATTTCAGAGGTGGACAAACAACCAGAACTTTCCAGTAGATATTACAGAAGAAGAAGAAAAAGGAGGAGAGGAAGAAGAGGAAGGAGAAGAAGAAGAAGGCGAAGAAGAAGAAGAAGAAGAAGAAGAAGAAGAAGAAGAAGAAGAAGAAGAAGAAGAAGAAGAAGAAGAAGAAGAAGAAGAAGAAGAAGAAGAAGAAGAAGAAGAAGAAGAAGAAGAAACAGAAAAGGAAGAAGAACAAGAAAAGGAAGAACAAGAAGAAGAAGAAAAAGAAGAAGAAGAAAAGAAGAAGAAGAAGTGAAGAAGAAGAAGAAGAAGAAGAAGAAGAAGAAGAAGAAGAAGAAGAAGAAGAAGAAGAAGAAGAAGAAGAAGAAGAAGAAGAAGAAGAAGAAGAAGAAGAAGAGGAAGAAGGAGAAAAAAGGAAAAAAAAGAAGAGGAAAAAGAAGAAAAGAAAAAGAAGAGGAGGAAGAAGAAGAAAAAGAATAGTTAATTAATTGCGGAACCTAAGTCCGTGTTTTTAACGTTTCAACAAAAAAGATAATGTTATTTGCACATTTATAATGCACATCCTATATTATCCACCGCGTTGTTGCGTTATACGTTCGCCTGCGGATCAAAACGTCTTGGGTTTAGGTCCTCCTGGAGACGGACTTTTTCAAAACAATGACTTTGGCTCTCAGGTTCACCCAGCCTTCAGTGGGTACTATGTGAACTCTCTGGGAAGATAATGTCTTCCACCTTCTTGTGAACAGATGTGTCAATGAAATGATGTATGTGAAAGTTGGAAAAAAAAAGCACTATTCTCCAGGCATATTGAAAATAATAGGCTAGATTTCGATTGTATAGACCATTCGGCACTTGATGAATGATGTGGTCAGAATTACGCCGGCTGCCTTTACTTCCTGGTACTTTACCTGGTACCCATTTAAGACTGAGTCGACCGGAAAGTCAAAATCATTTTTGAAAAAAAAAAAAAAAAGTATCTAGCTCTGTCAGGATCCAAACCCTCGACCTTTCGATTCACAGGCGAGCCTGAAATGATGTATTATGAATGGAGGGAGATGAGAGAGGCAGACACCTCATCGGCGACCAGATCGCCAACTGGCTCGCAGGTAGACGACTTTAGGACACATAAACTAGTCACACTTATAACCTAAAAAAGCTCCTTCATGGATGCTGATTGAACGTGACAAATTTGGGTGCCCAATGCGTAGGGGGATGGGAATTTATCCATTTGTTCATACTTTGTTGATATTCTGTCAAAGGGGCACCTAATTTTTCATTTTATTTTCCCCAGCTGTTTGCGGTCGACAACTGCATTGAAGACTGGAGAATCGCCATTTCCTTGCGTCGTATAGTACAGCTTCTAGTAGAGTTTCTAATCTGCGCCATTCACCCTGTTCCAGGAAACTTCACCTTCATGTGGTCAGGAACGCTGGCAGAACAAGAGAGACCATTTAGTAACGAAGTATCCATTGATGTCATTGTGTCGTTACCAATGTTTCTCAGACTCTATCTCATCTGCCGTGTGATGCTTTTACACAGCAAACTCTTTACTGACGCATCATCTCGGAGTATTGGAGCTCTAAATCGTATTCATTTCGACACCAAGTTTGTTCTGAAGACTTTGATGACCATTTGTCCGGGAACTGTTCTGCTAGTGTTCATGTTGACGCTGTGGATTATTGCTAGCTGGCTTGTGAGGGCTTGTGAAAGGTAGGTAGGTGAATACTGATACTGGTGGCTACTGATACATTTTACCGTTCATGATATTTTTAGTGTTTATGCTGACACTGTGGATTATTGCTAGCTGGCTTGTGAAAGGTAGGTAGGTGAATACATGGAGACTACCGTTTTTCGTGGCTACTGATATTTTTTTGCCCTTGATTACGCTTTTAGTTTCATTAGTATTTTAAATGAACGAATTATCCTCTGGTAATGACCAGGCTTTGGCCGCAAATACAGACACGCAATTGCAACACAGCCATAAACGAAAAACGTAAAACAAATAAAAACACTGAAAAAATAGAAGTAGTGTTATTAGGAAGAAAGATGTAGAACCTAAATATAGCAGTGAATTACAAAAGACATTAAACAGGCACCTGGGTTATAATATCTAGGAGCAACTTTCAAGGAGGATGGTAAATTAGATGACAAAAATTACCATCTGATGCAGTAAAGCAAACCAAATATTGGGGCAGCTAATTACGTCCTTGGCCTTACCATTTTTTTTAAAACAAATAGTGTAAAAAATAGTATGTTTATAATTAAATGAGAGGGAACATTTTTTTTTTTTTCAATAGTGTCAAATTATGACATGTACAAATGCACTCAATTTTAAAACTGCTTGACGCCACCTTGAAACCTTCCCATACCACCAGACTCAGGGACCCGCCCCCCTTCCCCTCCCCCCTCCTTAGGTTGTAGAACACTGTGCCTTAAAGGGTAAAAAAAGACTTATTCTAAGAATCATCATTTTTGCATGTTCCATATTGATAATGATGGCGGTCATTGTTAGCTGAATCTCACAACGGGTCTCAGAAAACATCTGTGTTGTGTTAAGTTGCTTACGGCATATGGCCGAGCAACCCAGCTACAGTAAAGCCTCATTGACACGAATTCCAGGAGACTGAATGTTCCTGTTACAAAAATACCCTGGGCGGGGACTATAATAATAATAATAATAATAATATAAATAATAATAATAATAATAATAATAACAATAGTAATAATAATCCTTTCCTGTTAGGACCAGTATTTATATAGGACCATTTTCGTTTTAATAAGGACTTCTTGTATTTAGCATCACCCCTTGGTTTCTTCTGTGTCACAATACATATATAGAAATAATTTAGCGTTATGAAATGTAATCAACAAAAAAAAAAAACGATCACTTCAATATTTAGCAAATTTATTAACTCACGCAAGAAGGTAGTGGTTCAGTGTTTAGCAAGCTGATTGAATCTACAGTCAATCAGTCAGCATGACCTTTACAGAACGTCACTCTCCTCGCGGTTAGTAGCTCAGTGTTTAGTCAGCTGATTGTATCAGTCAATCAATCAATACACATATCCGTCGCAGAACATCGCTCTCTTTACGGTTAGTGCATCAGTGTTTAGTGTTTAGTGAAGTGATTGTATCATTCAGTCAATCATAAGACATGTCCTTTACTAAATGACGCTCTCTTCGTGGTTAGTGCTTCTGTGTTTAGTGAAGTAATTGTATCATTCAGTCAATCATAAGACATGTCATTTACTGAATGACGCTCTCTTCACGGTTATTGCTTCTGTGTTTAGTGAGCTCATTGTATCAGCCAGTCATTCAAACGACATGTCCTTTACAAAGGTCGCTCTCTTCACGTTATTGCTTCAGTGTTTAGTGAGCTCATTGTATCAGTCAGTCAATCAAACGACATGTCCCTTACAAAACGTCGATCTCTGTTAGTCTCTCTTTCTCTAGCCAATTCTGCTGTTATGTCTGCTTTCAAAGCCAATGCAACATCAGTGTCCTGTATCCACATTCGCGGAAATAGGTCTCTGTCTCAATTTCGGGAATCTGCACCTTATATCACCGTTCTCTCCAAACCACAATAGCGGAAATATTTCAGGAAAGGATGCTGTTTATGAGCCACATTTTCTCGATCTTCAGATCATAAAGGACGTCGATGTTTTTCCTTCGTCTCATTCCACAGTATTCTAGTAATGTTTCTTATGATGTCAGTATATAAGCTCCGATTTTGTCTTCTTCAAAGAGTGAGTAACATTTAAAGACCCAAACCCATAAGTTGAAATTCGAGGTTTTTTACGTTTTTATACTGTTTTTATTTCCCACCCATTTAGCTTTGATGGAACATCAGAAATGCAGAAAAAAGTTGATGTTACTAGAAACGTTAAAAGCTTCGTTTTAGTTCATGTTGGGGAAAAAAAAGTGCAAAAATCGAAAGATTTAAATTATCAGTTAAGAGTTCCAACTTGGTGAAATCAAAACATTCAACCAGTTAATTTTAATGAATTCGTTAACAGCAGGCTTGGAGAAGTGTTAATGCAAGCCGCGGCGAACATCACTTTATTTTCAGTTTGGTGTGAAGTTGTTTAGTTTTGATTACTCGCTCGCATAGGGATTAACATTTAATTAATGTAACCTTTATCGCCCGTGTATTTGTTCTCACTAGAACCGAGTATTTGTTCCCGCTAGTAGCAGCTTCATAATTTCAATATTACCCAAAATTATAGTGATAACTGTCCCTGCCTGGGTATATAGGGAAAAAACACACACACTCACGCACGAGTCCGATACATGGCTGTTTTGTAAGGGCTCCTTTGCTTTACAATTATAAAAAAATAAAATAATAATTAAATGAATACATTCTAAATACTGCATATTTACAGTACATAAATAAATTGTATACATATGTACAATATGTGTCGGCAACTATGACTGAATAAGCGTTGCGAAGGAGCTTGTAATTTCGAAATACCCAGTTCGATTCCAATTACAGACCCCAACCAGTTTTGTTTATTTCAATAAATCACCGACCGTTAAGGAAACAGTTATAATTGTGTTGTGAATTGTGTGTTTGTGTATGTGTGTGGTGTGTGTGTGTGTGTGTGTGGTGTGAGTGTGTGGTGTATGTGTGGTGTGAGTGTGTGGTGTGAGTGTGTGTGGTGTGTTTGTGGTGTGTGAGTAGTGTGGTGTGGGTGGTGTGTGTGTGGTGTGTGGTGTGAGTTTGGTGTGTGTGTGGTGTGTGTGTGGTGTGTGTGTTGTGTGTGTGGTGTGTGTGCGGTGTGTGGGTGTGGTGTGTGGGTGGGGTGGTGGGTGTGTGTGTGTGTGCGTGCGGACGTGCGTGTATATATATATATATATATATATATATATATATATATATATATATATATATATATATATATATATATATATATATATATATATGTATATATTTGTATATATATATATATATATATATATATATATATATATATATATATATATATATATATATATATATATATATATACACACACGCACTATATATATATATATATATATATTTTTTTTTTAATATATAAAATTTATCATTGTGAATTCATGTTATTTTTATGTTGAATACTCTGAATCATGCCGAATTCCCTAAGCTTTGATGTAGATTCTTTGCGTCACTGTGATAACTATCAAGCGCTTTTAAGCCGCTTCCCACGTCTTCACGGCAAATTCTAGGACTTCTTATGGTTTTCATAAAAACTTTTTAAGGTCTTCCTTGGATGCTGTTAAACCATACGTAGTGGTATCTTAGTCATTATTAATTCTCCCTTCTAGCTTTCTAACGAACCAACACTTTAACAACATTCTGTTTTCACCCATAATTTTTAGTATGAATTGTTTTGATATATATATATATATATATATATATATATATATATATATATATATATATATATATATATATATATATATATATATATATATATACCTGTACGCTACACAAGGCCTATAAACTTACAACATGGGGGCTGCGTGGTCTAAAGGCATGATGTCTGCCTCGAGCTCTAGAGATCCCGGGTTCTAGCCTCAGTGAAGGCGGTTTTTTTCACGTGGACTTCTAGTAATTTACCCTGGTCTCTGGGTAGTGAGATCTGATGTAGGTGTGTATTGTTGCGCAGGTAAAAAAAAAAAAAATGTTCGCAGTTAGAAATCGAAAAAGTAGCCTAGCGGCTCTGCCCGAGCAAAATTTGGAGTTAAAAATCTACCTAAAATATTTCAGGATCCTCGCCGGTGCAACGAAGTTCGTGCACTGCGCTGAAATTCTTCGGACTCAGGCTGGAGTTAGAATAAGAACAGAGCACTTATGGGTTACACCCGTGTGCAATGATTATGATCCGTTGAATAAACACAAACATAAACTTACAACCTTCGGACGTTTTGTCTCTGTACGACATAATATATTTTAGGTTACTGCTTTTACATTCACACAGTTGATTGTATCTGTTTTGTTAAATTGCATAGTGATCATTTCAACATGCCCTATCCTGTCTGGACTTCAGATAACTTTGCAACCATCTGGCCTCCCAACATAACTTTATGGTTGAACAAGTTCTGTATGATTCTCATCCGAGTAGACGTTGCTTTGTGTTGCCAGACGTTAATCGCTGAGTTAGTTAGTCGTCAGATTTTCATCATTGCATATCGGATAAATCCATAAGCGTTTGGATTCCATATTCAGTACATCCATTAGCTTTTAGCGACTGATAACACCAGTTCTTTGTTGGTTTATTCTTCTTCTTTGGCTACCTGTATTCTGTTCAATTCGACAAGTTTTTTACCTTAAGTTTTGGTAGTCTTTTGAGTGTTGCCGATTCAACGTCGTCTCCTGAATCATCTTCTCATCCTGTCTCCTTGAGAAAAATGAGAATGTCAGCCTAGTCTATTGCTTTTCCTGTACCTACCGAATCGCTCATTGTAGGATCCTAATGGTTTTCATGTTTATTCACTTTAGGGGGTTTGTATGTTGTACTGTATAAACAACATTTATTTCCATTGTTTATACTGGCTTTTCCCGTTTTGGTTTACGGAGTTTATATATAGACAAATTGCACCCAAGCTGTCACATGCCGTATATGTACCAATTACAGGGGAATATCGCTTCTCAGTCACACTGGGAAAATGTATGCTAAGTTCATCGCAAAAAGGCTGAGACCATTGATAGAGTATCAACTTTCAGA